ACACACACACACACACACACACACACACACACACACACACACACACAAATCAGTCTGATTTTCCTCCATCAACACTGTCTCACTTCTCACCTTCCCCTTCACACTCACCCCAGTATTTCAGAACTTCACTCCAAGTGTCAAAGAACACTCAAGGTTTGCGTATGATGGAATGCAACGACCAAGGGAAAAGGAAAATATTTCAATATCTTCAACGGAACAACTGAGCCCAAACAAGCACTAATACCAAAGGGGAAGAGGATGAGTTCAAATCAACAATGTAACATTATCGGGTTACCTTGATCCTCGGGCACACTGGGTCCCACACTGGAGATGTGTGGACAATAGTTTCTAAAGGAGTTGGTCTACACTTGTGCATTAAATCTGGCTGCACTGGCGCTATTATTTTTAAACCGACTAATTCAGAAAGAATGGCATAATGAGAAATGAAGCTCTAGCGTAAGTCCAGTCAGGAAGACTATACTCTTGCATGCCTAAGCCCGTAGTTTATTTCTCATACATCAGCCAATCACTCCTCAGGCATGCTCACTCATTATTTCCAAAAGCATTCAATGACCACATTTTCCAAAATCCATGAACTCTTTTCATACTCCACCACCTCCAAACACTTTATATTTGCAGCACATTCTTTCAAATGCTAAATAACAACAAACAAAACACGTTCAAAGCTGAATGATGGCAACTTTCATGAATTTCTGCAGTAACTGTTTAAAATATATTAAAAATCTATATTTTAAAAGAATATTTAGAATAAAATGTAATAATAATCATTCCACAGCTGATTGCAATGTCAGCTGAAATCCTACCCAGAGGTCCGTTTTTTAGACAACAGGGGACGACTTAAGATTGATTTAGTATGAAAACATGGAGGGAGAAGACAGGTTGGTGGGGAAAGAAGAGGGGCAGGGAGAGGGAGAATGTGTGGAGGACAAAGGAGAGGAAGACCAAGAGCGGATGTCTCTGATGAGATAAGGGCCACAATTGTTGACCTTGTTGTAAACCCTGGTCTCTCTTTGAAAGATTTGGAATTTCAGGATCTTTTTTTTTTGCACAAGTAAATAACTATATGCTATGAAAAATAAAGTGTATTGAAGCAAATTGCTGCATTTCTGATTAATTCTTGTGACATATACAGTTAATAAAGTGAAAAGGTGTTATTCCTCTTCTATAATGAAATACTGATTCATGTGAAAAGTCATTCAAACTTCAAATATAATAGTGATTTATGTGATGTGTTTGTTGTAGTCAGTGTGTTATGAGTGACAATGTTTCTTTTCTGAGTGCCAGTGTTATGGTCAAAGAAGCTCATTTTGAGACATGTATGAAGTGTGAGTTTTGGAGCTGAGATCAACTGTTTGGCTGAGATGCATGTTGGTAATGCAGACTGGATAAGGCGCTTTGAAAAAGTGTCTTCAGTGTTGACCAATGCTTGTTAGCTATTGACAAAAAGTGTAAAAACAATAAGGAGGATTTCTGTTTACATATTCCATATTAATGAACAAAAGTATTCTTCATTTACCTGTTGTCATCACACCAAAATGCACCATGACTAGTATCTTATTTGAGGTACTTAAACAGCCCAATTACAGCATGGCTGCAAAAGTAAAAATAGTCACAATGACAGGACTCTGATGAAGAGGTATGAAAAATGGTCCCACACATAACCTGCATGGAAAAAAAAGTTTTTAATTATACAGATGATATATAATGTGTTAAAGCTGGGGTCAGCAACGTTAAGAGTAACAGCAAGAGTAAACTATATTTTGAGTATCTCTGAGTATCTAACGGAAAAACCCAGCCCAGTGTTGCCAACTCTTTTCCAATAAAAGTAGCTAGCAGCATTAGCTCCAAAAGATTAGCACCATTAGTATCATGTTATGCTGCTCACGATGCGGGATAGGCTGCTAGCTTTAGCATATTAACTTGTAGTGTACTGCAGCATGGACCAACAGTAAACATAAAAATGTGTGTGATTTTGGCGATTGGCTTCATGGGCTGTTGCTGTAGTCTAACATTATAAAATTGAGTTTTAAGGCCATTTCACACCTAAATTACACTACAGAAAGCGAGTGGGTCGACATACAGTTTGGATTGGGAGGAAGTGAATACATCAAAGTGATGTGCAATCAAATAGAGGGTCAAATCATTGTTGTTTGGCACACACAATGTACAGTATGATACTGTGTAACAAACTTTCATTTTTTGAAGTGATCATAGTCGTTTGTTAAATGTCTTTTCATCAGAAAATGCTCACTGGGTTCCTTTGCTCCCCTCTGGAGAGGAACTCACGTGTTGGGTGAGATGATGCGAGACCTATGATTGCTAAATTGTCTGGTTATTGCCCACATGCTGTCTATACCTCACTGAGATGCAAACTCAATACAAGCCAGGCCACCTCGGCTTTTGCTCTGGCTGATCGTATTTGAATGTGATCAACATCCAATCTTAGAGTGTACATAGTGGACAGTGAATTCGTCACTGGCATGATCGGATGACAAAAGTCACATTAAAAAATACAAGTGTAACCACAGCCTCTATCAACAACAACCATGGCTAAGTTAGTACTCACAGCAGTCAAGCTAGCAGCTTGTGGCAGGATACAATGTAGAATAGGCTCAGGCAGGCAGTATAATAGTCTTGTGACAGCCAGAGATAGCGGATTATTTTCTTTTTTTTTGTCATGGCATTTGATCTGTTAATTGCTGTTGGGATTGTCATGTACCCTAGTTCAATTTCTTTATTTTTGTCATTTCAGTATTTCCTGTTTTATTTTGTGTTATACCTCTCCTCTTATTTCAGATAACTTCACTTCCTGCCTCTTTTGTGTTTTCCACCACTGTGATTGTCTGCCCCGCCCCTGATTGATCCCACCTGTGTCTAATCACCTACACATCCCCCGTGTATTTAAACCCTGTGTTCCCCTGTCTCTGTGCCAGTTTGTCTTAGTCCTCTGTGTCACGTGTTCCAGCGATTCTCCTAGTATTATGTTCCCGGTTTTGCTGATCTCTGCCTGCTTTTGGGCGACTACGTTTTTGCCTGATTTGTTTGCCTGTTCTGTCCGAACCTCTGCCTACAAGCAAAGTGTGTTTTATCTTAACCTGTGCTTTTGGTCCTGCATTTGAGTCCTGTTTCTCCCTGTGGTTCACCGGTCGTAACAGGGATGTAAAGAGAATTATAAAAACGATTTGTTAAATACATTACCTATCCTAGCTTGAAGTAGTGAGAATACATGCACATGAGTTTCAATTTCCCCCTGGTCCAAACCGCTGCTACCATAGCCGCTACCAGCAGCATCACACGTAGTATTTAAGTTCACATACACAATATCCAGCAATGCTCGTGTCTAATGTCATTACGCAAATTTATTTGTAACTTCTGTTCTCTAAAACATGTTTGTCCTGCCATTGTTACAGCTAATGTCTGGAATAGTTGTTGCCACTGATGAACTTGCTTCCTTTTTTATTGGCTACTAAAAAAGAAATTAGCAATATTTGCTCTTTTGTTTTTGTCTAAACAAACTGTCCCCGGCTCCTCCACTCTGTCGATGTGTCCTTGTGCAAGAAACTTAATCCCAAGTTGCTCTCGAAGGCTATGCTTATGGTAAAGGTTAGTTAGTCCTGATTGGCAGGTGGCACCTTGCATGGTAGTCCTGCCATTAGTCTATGTACCCATTCATACCCAGTGTATGAATGGTTGAATGACATGTGGTGTTAAAGCTTTGAATGGTCGGAAGACTAGAAAGGCACTATACAAGTACAAGTCCATTTACCATTGTTGAGTATAGTTGTGTAATATGGCTGGATTATTAGTAATTTGCATTTCAAATGTCCTTTTGAATTTCATTTTATTACTTTGGGAACAGAATCTGGAAGTTCCAGTGTAGACATGGCTCTATTTTCTCATGCAGTCATTGGACAACAGGCACAAAAAGTTGTGTTAGTGACAAGAGGGTGTAACACATCCCACCCTGCTCCACGCAGGTACCTGAACGGTAGAAGTTGTAGAGACATGGATGTGATCCCTCACTGGCTTCCTTCCCACAGACAGTGTTCAGTGGGGTGAAGAGATGTGAACACCTTTTATATGTGTGGGCATGTCAAGTGTAGATGGCAAACTTAAAAAATATTTGAAAATGGTATGTGAACAGAATCCAATTTGACTTTTTAGTGTAATTAAATTCAAACGTTAATGCTGAAGGAATGTTAAATATTTTTACCAAAGGAAATGATACCATACACAACATGGATGTTAATTTCAGATGGGGCTACTTACACCAGAATTGTTCCTGGAAGAAAACCCCAGACATGCTCTGACAATAATTCTGTCAGACATTTAGAAAAGATTAAAAAGTAAAGTATTTATAGTCCAAAGGTCCATTTGACTTTATTCGCTGCTTACCAGCTAGACGGACACTAGATGTGATTAAAAGAGTTTAGGGGCCAATAAATAAGAGCATCCTCTGTACACACTCACAAATACTGTACACACACATGCCACAAGAACATACAGGAGCAGGGATTGACTGACAAAGGTTCTAGTAGAACATCCGCACTGATTTTCATTGTCCTTCCAATGGTTCCAACGACAGTGTTATTTCATTTTTGTTGCTGTGAACAAAGTGAAAGTATACAAAGCTTCACCAGTATTGGTTGTCCATGTCTTTCATTCATATTTCCATATCATTTGAAAGGAAGTATTTCGGCAGTCAGGAGTTCATGCACGGCAACAGGACTAAAGAAACCCTGTATTAACATTGCAGTTCAGTTTTTCCTGTGCTTGTGCAGGATGGAGAGAACAAACCAAAGAAATGGGGATTTGTTGTCATTCCTTCTTGTTGTGACTCCTGAGCCCCACACTGTCAGTACTCCCTGGCCTCTTTAAGTTCCATCTGAAACATTTGTTCAGGGGGATTATCTGAACAGTCCAGCCCATTATTGGGCGGCCGTACTGAATGAAACCGACTCCAGTCCCCTTTACAAAGGATCCAGGGCAGTACATCCACCTTGTAATGCAGCTCTGGTGAGAACTCTGTACTGATCAGATTTAGTGCTCCTGCTCCTTTTCCTCGCGTTATCAGTCTCATCTGATCGTCGTAGCAGCAGTGCTGCGCTGCCAATGTTGTGCTGTCATACGACAGCATTGAGCGGATGCAGAATCTGGCTGAAGGTTTGTAGATATCCAGGCGTTCTTTGGGTCCGCTTGCGTCCATCCAGCGAAAGGTCTTGCGATGTTTTCCGTCCTGGATGTTGACGGAACTGTAAACGGCCTCAGAAGGGTAGGAGCATGGGCAGCTGGGAAGCTCTGTGAGCACTTGGTGCAGGTACTTCTGGAGGAAGTCATTCTTGCAGTTTAGCCACTTCTCACAGCTGTCTACGTCTAGGTTGGGGGGATTTGAAAAGGTTTGAATATTTCACAGAAAGTCTTAACATTCTTCAGTTAGTTGTGAATTCAATTAGCTTAATTTATTGGCAAAAATGGAAAATAATGTTCATAACTATGTTTTAATCAGTTAAATGACCTGATACTAAGAACTGTTATGTTTTCGAAAAAGGCATTTCTATGGACATAGGAAGGGGCTCCTCTTCACAGAGTCGGCCATGTTTCTACAGCAGCCCAGAATGGACAACGGACTCCAGATCCACTTCAAATTTGGTCAGTACAATCTAAAGACCTTTGTGAATAAAAGCTATCAAAAGCTTTACGTTCGATGGAAAGGCGTAGCAGTGGTCTACACTTGATACAAAGCAACATAATGCATGTTGTGGATACAGTGGATACAGGAAATGGTGGAATATTTCCAATACACAATTTATCCACGCCGGAAAAAAACGTTTAACTCGAGGCGCCTTGTCCGATGGTCACAGACATTTGCGGCCGCGTCAGGCCGGCATCTCGCCAGTACCTCCGACACAGCTTCCAGCTTTAATTCAGATTTTACCCTTGGGAGAGGGTCTTGGCTGATAAATCACTTAATCACTCATCATCTCCTCATCATTATATCGTATTTATAATTATTATTATACATGTATTATTATCATATCATTAAGACCACCGGTCAACCTCTAGTTCACACTACACAACTTTCAAAGTCTTCAGATTGCTGTTCTGCTCACACTACACAAGTTGTAGTGATTGTCACACTACACGATTGACCGGCGAGAGGGAGTCACACTCATTATTTCATCATTTCACCAAGATGAATCCTTAAATCGGCAAGTGGAAATCTGGGCTAAAGCTGAGTAATGTGAACTAAGCGTTAGTTACGCAATCACTAAAGATTTGTATTGATAAGGGACCATATTCGTGCAGCCAATTATGCAATGCAAATCACATCACACAGCATTTCAGTTTAAAATGATACAAAGCTAAAACTAATTCAAATAAATGCAAACTGACGGGAAGGGAATGGCAAAAACAAAGTAAACTAATAACCCATTTCCCTCTCAGGAACTTTTCCAGGGCTTTAGGGATCCTCTCAGGAACTCTAATTTGCCTAATCTTCATGGTTCTCATGATGCAGTGGAAATACAAGAATGTACAAAATAACTTTCTAGTGTTTCTAGTGTAGTTTCTGAGTTTATTCCTGCAGCTTTATAGTTTATTTGACTATTTGTTCAAAACAAGGTTACAGATAGATGTGTAATGAAATGACTAAGAAAAATAATAAAAAGATTTTTGGCCATGGTGAAATTAAAAGTGTCTTCCTATAGTAAATGTAGGGTTGAGAGGCAACATGTCAGACGCTGGATTGTGTTCTCCTGTCCTGCTGTTTCCTTTATGTTTGCAGAGTGAAAAGAACTATAGTGTTCTCTGGCCGAGGCTCCGCAGCAGGAGAGCAATAAAATGGAAAGTAAAAAGCAATAAAAACATTTCTGGGAGGTAGGGCCAGTGTTTCATGGTTTCTTTGACAGACGCAGAAGAGCAGCTCTCAACATGCTAGGAAGGGAGATTTCTAAATATCAAAACCAGGCATTCCCAGTGTGATTGATTGTGTGTTACCACTGAATGGAAGATAATGTTTCATGTACAGGCCACTACCCATTGACAACATGGAGTTTGATACGTACTTGTGTCCAGGGATTCTGTGCTGTTGGTCGTCTGGATGGGTGTTAGGTCAGTCACTGGCGTTGCAGTGTCTACAGGACAGAGGGTAAATGACTTGTCTTAAGGTGCTTAAATTATATCCTGAAAAAACACACTGATGGCATTCTACATACACATTAATGAACAAAATAGGAATAAAAATGACTTTTAACACTTCAATATCTGTTTTACTATGCAATAGTTAAGTGTCTGTTGTAGGATTGTTATAGGATTTTATCTTCTGTGGAACTGCAAGACCAAGTGCAGACCAAGTATTTGATTATATTTGATCTTATGTCTGTTTTAAAATATTATACAAGTAGCAAAGTCCTTACGGTGTGTTCACGCAAAACTTTTCACGTGTTGGGACTTCACCATGCCGTTGAAACAAAGGAATTGGGCCGACCTAGCAGTTCAACAGCCTGATTTGAGTTTAACCACACCAAACCCCACCGGAAGTTAAATCTCATCAATGTGTGAGATTTGGGTCCAAACCCAACACTGGGGTCTCATTAGACGGGGGCCATAAGCACACCACGGGGGTTCCCTGTGATACAGCCATGACGTAACTGAGACTATAAACATCAGCGCTACCTTCAGCTCCACGCCATCCCACGTGATTCGTCTCGTACGTAAGGGGGCACAAACAATGTTGATGTTTTCAAGAAAACCTAGGAATACGTAGTTCTACATTTGCTGGTCGAAAAATAAACAGTTTGGATCCCAAAGGAGAAGTGGATAACTTCCCCCCTACTCCGCTAACTTTAATAATAATAATTGTTAATAATCGTATTGATATTAGTAATTGTATTAATGTAAATAATTTAGTTTTCATTTTATTTCATCCAAACACGCTCCTGCCGGATCCCAACACGCAATTACAAATAAAGCCAATGCGAAAACGCAAATAGACGTGTGGACAGGTACAAATGATAACATAGCCTAGCACTGATCGATCATACTGTAGTTGTTATATGTAGCAGTGTGTGTGTGTGTGTGTACAGTTTAGGCCGTTGGTGTATAAATGCGACAACTGCTCAAGAACAAAGCCTGCATCTTGCTTGCCACCTGCTGATTAAAGTGAAGGGGTCAGCCCCAAAGTTAGCGACAACTTTGGCCCAGGTTTGCTGAAGATGATGCATTGTTTTACATCAATGTTTACTAGATAGCAGTCATCTTCATTGACTGTATACTCCTCAAACAAAGTGGCGTCTTGGACCTGCCACGCTGATTATACCTATAAAGGCAGATGATCATTCCGAAATTAATAAATTAGAGGCCTCTTGTCTGCTGTGAGATGAGCTTGGTAGCTTTGAAAATGTAGTTTATCCCATCTCCATAAATCTGCAAATATTAGAGAGCTGATTTTCAGGTGATTGATGACTAAGTTTAAAACATTGTTGTGCTACTTTTGCTATAAAAAATGGTATTAAATACCATCATAAAAAAGTGGTTAATAGCAGCTACACAAGTCAGACAGAGTTTCAACTGCTTACCCGCACAGTTGTCCAGGTCACACGTGCGTGACTCAGTGGCCGTACATGCATATCCACAGGAGCGGGTGCGTTTCTGGGTGCCGTGGCCACAGGTGATGCTGCAGGGTTCCCAGTCACTCCACTCCTCCTCGTACTCTGGACACACAGCGCGAGAAGATGGATGAAGAACAGACAGCTTAGAGGGGGGGGGGGGGGGAGCAAAACTATGGAGTAATATATTAAGAGTGGCCTTTGAAGTTAAGTAGTGAATTCCTCGCCCAGCTGGTGTATGTGTGTTATGTAATTAAGTAGCGGCTGAAAAGAGCAGGGTAACGACAGCGTGGGACCTCTGAGACGTGCTCCTCTGTATTTAAACAGGGCTTGCAGGAGGGAAGAGAGCGGGGGAGAACTTCAAAAGACTGAGGGGGGCGGTGGAGGTGGGGTGAGCAGCCCATATGAATGTCTTCTTGCAGCGTGAGTGATAACGTCTGTATGTTAACAACTCTTCATAATGGTAGAAAGAGTTCAGAGCCAACATTTTAGGAATGACTGGATCTTAATGCAGAAGCTGGATGCATTGGCCTACTTCCCCTTTCCTTCATTTAGTTCCTTTCTGCAATAAGACACTTAAAAATACATCATCAGATTATATGCTAATAAGAAAATGCAATGTATCAGTGCCCTATAGAAAGGAGAAAAGAGTCAAAGGAATCCTTCTGAAATCAGTCAGTGATACAAAGCTTTGCTACCTGCTCTAACCTGATCTATGGTGTGCAGAAAACCTTTCAAATCAATTCTATTTGTAGAGCCCAACATCAGCCTCAAAGATCTGGAACTATTCCTCTCAGACCTGTTTCCACACAGAAGGTAATGATGCACTGTGACCAAATTAAGACTGCATACTTTTGGGGAAAGTCATAAGCACACCAATGATCATGCAGGAAGTACGGCCAGCTGGCGTTTTTGTATGAGAGGGAAAAGAAAGTGAGAGGGTGAGAACATGAAAGTGTGTGTGTGTGTGTGTGTGTGTGTATGTGTCAAACTGAACAACAGTGACTTCACTCCCTGTTCAACATCCACTGGCTATAATCCCCATCATCCATATATTAGAGGATCATTTAAGATGTCATGGTATCGACGGGGGTAGCCAAGCTTTCGCTGCAAAGTTTGCTGGTTTGATGCTTGATAGTTCAATGAATAATAATGTATTATGTTTAATCGTTATACTTTGTTAATCAAATGTGAATCTGCAATGTAACCACTAACATTTATCTTTCAGGTAAATCTATAGCTGTTTGGCCCCCAGGTTCCCTACCTTGTTCTAATGACTCTAATGGTAGAGTCTGCCCCTGATGTTTTTTCCCATGAACCAGACTGCATTTCTGTGAATACCACTTGTTTCACCATGACTAAACCGTGCATCGCATCTACCTTACACTTGGTGGGTGTATTGCTGGAGCAATGCTCCACCGGCCCTACCAACACCAAGTATCCTCCCTTCACCCCAAATTTCAACAGTAAAATCGATCCAAAATGTCACAGCCTATAAAAGCAGGAGCATCATGTGGGAGGCCATGTTGCCAGATGAGATCTCCTAAACAAAGAGTCAGCTGTCAAGTCTGCCCCGCCTCAAGAGAACCGCCCACTGTCAGTATCCTCAGAGGACCGCCCACTGTTAGTATCCACAGAGGATGTGAGGAAAACCCTGATGAGAGTGAATATGAGTAAAGCTGCTGGGCCTGATAACATCGCTGGCCGTGTACTAAGAACATGTACCAACCAGCTATCAGATACTGTATATGATCTAATATTTTCCCTATATCACTGTCACAGGAGAGCGTTCCCACCTGCTTCAAGACAGACACCATCGTCCCTGTCCCTAAAAAGTCTGCAGCGTCCAGTCCGAATGACTATCGCCCTGTGGCACTCACCCCCTTTCTGATGAAGTGCTTTGAGAAACTGGTTCTCCAGCATCAAAAACAACATTCCAGCCAGCCTGGACCTTCACCAGTCTGTATACAGAGCCAACAGATCCACAGAGGATGCTGTCTCCACTGCTCTCCTCTCAGTCATCACTCATCTGGAAAATAACAACACCTACATCAGAATCTTGTTTGGTGATTTCAGCTCGGCCTTCAGCACAATTTCACCCATTAAACTGATAGTAAACTTAGCCCTCTAGACTTGAGTACCTAATTCTGCCACTGGTCATTAGACCTCTACACAAACAGACCCCAGGCAGTTCGGATTAGCAGCCAAACCTCCTCCACTCTAGTGTTGAACACTGGAGCCCCCCAGGGCTGTGTGCTCAGCCAGCTCCTGTTCACACTGTACACCCACGACTGCTACCCCAAACATAAAGAGAACTCTGTTGTGAAGTTAGCCGATGACACTACCGTCATCGGCCGGATTACAAACGACAACGACTTCATAGAGAGAGGAAATCACCAATCTTCAGAGTGGAGCTCAGAGATCAACCTACTGCTCCACGTCAGTAAAACCAAGGAGCTGATTGTTGATTTTAGAAAAAGGGAGGCGAAGACACACTTCCCTGTCTTCATCAATGGAGATGAGGTGGAGCAAGTTAGCAGCTTTAAGTTCCTGAAATCAGCATCACAAACAACCTGATGTGGTCCTCACACATCTCCATCCTGGTGAAGAAAGCTCATAAACGGCTGTATTTCTTCAGGAAACTTAAGAAGGCAAAATTCCAATGCCAGGTTTTTGTCAACTTTTACAGAGTAGCAATAGAAAGTATCCTGACTGCAAAGATTGCAAACTGGTATGGGATGTGTACGTTACAGGACAGGAGGCTCTACAGCGGGTGATTAAAAGCACCTAGAACATCGTTGGCACCATCTACAGAGCATCAGTGATATCGGTGAGAAGAGCTGAAGGGATATTAAAAGACAAAACCCACCCAGACGCAACCTGTTCACCTGCTGCCTGCTGGAAAGAGATGCAGAAGAATCAGCTGCTGAACCACCAGCCTTCAAAACAGCTTCTTTCCTCTGGCTGTGAGACTTAAAAGGGAAAAGGCTATGCCTCAGCCTAACACTGTCATTTCAAAACTATGATGTCATGGACATTTCTGCAGTAATATACAATCAAGTATATATGTTTTTCCACATCATACATTTTATCCATGTGTTTAAATGGAACACAAATCTAAACATTGATTGTCATTCGAACTGATGAGAGCTAAAGAGGAGGAGCTGCTACCTGAATGTTTCCTTCTCTGCTCTTTGCTAATAAGTTGCGTCAGAGTTTAGCACATTTGTACATGTTGCTAACATCTGTGTCTGAACTCTGAGTCACATGCATTGCTGCGGCAAATTATTTCCTCAAATTACAACACTAATTTTGTCTTGATATACGGTGGAATGCTGCACTGTAGGCTGTGATACAAGATAGAACACTTGGGTGCATGAAACAGTAGAGTACAGGGAGGATCAGATTTTGATCTGCCTTACTTTAGATACTAATCCATTCAAATATACCAGAATCGGCCCCAATACTGATCCATAGGATTGGCATGGTACAACTCTAATGATTGTAATGATAATGAAAATGTTTATTTTACATTAATCAAGGTACTGTCACAATTCATTGTGATTTGACAATGTAATTCACATTATCCAGCCTCATATTGAGTGAATCAAAGCTGTACTGTTTTCGTGTCAGAGAGCGTCTTTACCGTAGTCGTTCTTTGCATCCCAATCTTTGTTCCATTTACTGCCCCAGTCTGCCCCCACTCCACTGAGAGAGGGGTCCTCTGGGTCGTAGTTGTAGTCCTCCGATTGTGCTTCCAAACTGTCTCTTTCCAGCCCGTTCTCCAACTGTTCTGGATATTCCCAGAACAGTGGCCAGAACAGCTTCTTGTGGCTATTAGCCCATTCTGAGGATGACACGGACCAGTCATTACGCTGACCCTCCTTGACCAGGTCCATCTCCACCTCCGTCTCAGGCTGTGTGTCATCTACCACCTCGATGGTCACCTGAAGGAAACACCAAATAATTAGAAAAGTATACAGTTAATACTGCAGTGATTGACAGTGACCTCATTATAACTAGATGAAAGTTGTAATTTTCCGGTACAATGTCATATAGACCTGTAATACTAATACATTCATCAACTTGCTTAAATGGCTCAAAGTTGACTGCTGTGATATAACTGTCAAATGGTGACAGAGCAGCATTGCTCACACAAACGCCTCTGTAGAGCAGTCATAGTAAATTCCAACAGCACATAATGAAAAAGTCAACGTAACCTTAAAGGCGCTAAACTAAAAATTCTGAGCATATCTATTGCCTCCGCAATGGCAGCAACATGGCAGCTCGCGGCTTATGGTGCTAACAGTGCTAACAACGTCAACAGTGCTGACAGAGCTAACAGTGTTTACCTGAGGGGGAACTGGAGGGTGGGGGCTACACCTCTATGACGAAGCCGTGGGTCGGGGCGGCCTTATCACCTGTACATGCTGTATGAGAGCAGCACAGGGGGGCGTCCGTGAGCTAACCAATGGGGCACGCACACATGCACTAACATGCACTAACATGCACTGAAAGCCATGCGGCCGGCTTGCAATGTCAACAAAGCAAAGAGAAGCTCTGATTACAACACACACGAGACGAGAGACTGTTTGTGTATAGATGCATGAAATTGTCTTTTACTACTACCCAAAAGCATAGCCCTGATTGTAACTTGTTGCAGCTACGTTCATTTATCAACACATAGATGTAATTTAAAATGTATATATCACATATTGCTAAGGTAGCCAACAGATCTATATATTAATTTAATGTCTAAATTTCTAAATGTAGCAATAAAGTAGCATGTAAATAAACTCTTCTACAAAGATGTATGTTATATATAACAACCTTACACGTTGGTACAAGCTCTCAGACATGATGAGGGCAGTGACGTCATTGCTTCGGGAGAAGACTGTTTATTTACAGATCAGATTAAAAGTCTTCTCTCCTTTTATGAAAGAGAGTTATTGTGCAGTGGGGGAGGGGACTGAGAGAAATGAAAAATATAGTTGGATGGAAAGATGAACCGATAGCATGTTCACTCCTGATTATCTCTGTTTCTCTCTCGCAGTCATACACATGCATATGTGCATACACACATTTACACGCACAGGTCCAGACAAAACCCAGGTTGCCTACGTTTCCAACAGCAGCTGTTTATAAAGACAAAGCAACACCTGATGTGCACTTGTGTACACAACACTTCACAATGCAGTGTTTAATTATAATTTGAAATAAAATTCAGAATGTTATCTGCATCTCGCTCTGTTGACCAAGCAGTGAATTCCAGAGTCAAATCACCATTTCTGTAAATCAACTCCACACGTCTTAACACTTTTTCCCTTAAAAAACTACTCCACTAGGATTCACAGTCACACTTAAAAATTACCTTTTGACCTTTTAGATTTGGCTCTCATATGTTTTATATTTTCACTTTTCCCCCAAACCCTGTGTCTGAAGTTCATGGACAAGTTGGAGCGCCCCACTGTTAAAGGTCCTGCATATGGTAACTTGAAACGGATCCTGACTCAAACCAGCTGTATGGGCTGTATGGAGCGAGAGGGAGATACACGCTGTTGAGAACAGAAACTGAAGAGAAAGTGATGGAAGAGGACTCCCCACCTCCTTTGATCACAGGTTTAATCTGGAACACCTGCACTTGATATGAACCATTCATGCTCTGAGGAAAGTGACCTAAACCTGCATCCAATGATACAATTTGTCCACAACATTTAGAATTTCTTCCACATGCATATTGCCTACTTGTATGTTGGGGTTCTGTGAGCCCATGTCTGCATTGCCCAGCTCTGGGAAGTTCCTCAGGTCCAGGATGAAGAGCTCAGGGTCTTCCTCCGGTTCAGGTGGAGGGAGGACACCTTGGTGGTGGGACCAGCGGTGTCTGGACCTGGGGAGAGACGAGCTGGAGGGACGAATCTGCAGCAGGTTCTCCTGCTGGAGCTCCTGGAGAGTCTGATGACCGTTGCCATGAATAGGCTCTGCTGTCACCTGAGAGGGGAAAATGACAGTGATCATGCTGTCTACCATATAACATATTAGATGAAATAGAAAGAAATTGAAGAATTTTCAAAACAGTTAGTGAAGCTGTCGATCAATGTCTTAATGACCATTTCCTTGTATTGTTTGGTCCACCAGCACCTTGGGCGTAGCATCCAGGGGGGTATGCGCTCTTTTTTACATTCATTTGATGGCAAACTCTGCCGAGCTGATGTGACACTAGCGTACACCAGGGTAGTTAGAACTCAATTGGACTCACTCTGACACTTTGTGACAAGAGTTGTAACGCTGCTTGTTTGAAGGGAGAGATTGAGGAGGTTAAGAAAGAAATGGTCTTTACCATAAATGTTTGATGAATGGATCTCTGAAAGTTTTCCACCACTGTGTCTCTGACCGCAAAGTAGCGACCGAAAGGTACTCAGCAGAGTGTGTTCTGGTAGTTCCATCAGTTGTTAGCCCAACACATTGTCCAAAACAGTAAAAGTAAGCAAGCTGTTTCCGCCTCTCTGTGTCTCTGGGTGCAGAGTAGCGCCTGGGGGTTGGAGATGCACTCAGCTGTGTTATTACCAGTGGCCCCTATCCGGCCAGGGGCCGGTTTAGAGTAGTGTGTGAGGCGTCAGCAGGCAGCCAGTGGCAGTATAAAATATGCAATTTAAAGTGTGAGTGTGATCTAAGCTTACTGCAGCAGATTGCAAGATTGAGCATGGACAGACTCATAGATGCACACTCACTCACTGAAACATGGACAGACACATGGGAGCGATCGCATTATTCCACTGGCGGAGATAGTAAGTCATTAAATCAAAAGATAATGAGAAGGCACCTAAACAACGTTTTATTTATATATATATATATATTTTTTTTTTTTTTTTTAAAAAGGTGAGAACATATTATCCGAATGTACCACTCGTAATTAAAAATAACTTGAAAAGACTATTGACAATGTGTGACGCCTTATATTTATCCATAGATATAGATATCAAATAATTTTTCTCTGGGGGGAGAACCCATAGGCCCCCACTTTTCAAACCTATGTTAGACTCTTAACCAGGCTGGACACACATGGGCATGGTGGGTGTCATAATTCCTGGCAACTGACAACTTCGCAGTTGCCATGAGTTGCCGTTTTAAGGTCGTAATGTGCCAATAGAAGAGAATAAGAAAAGGACTGCATGAAATATATTAAAGGTTTGAAAAGGTTAGAAAATGCATTCAACATGTTTGTTGGGCCTGAGTGAAAAACACTAAATGCAAGCTAGAGCTACAACACTGCATCGGCTGACATAAGTGCATTGCAGATATATTGTATCTGAGTATATGTTGGACAATAACTACAGAGTGTCTTCTTTTTTCTTTGTTACTTTGAGCACATACGGCAAATGCCCTTGCACAGTATGTGCTGTTGCATGCAGAATGTTTTCAATTAGGACGTAATACTTTGACAGAGACTTTGGCCCTCTTGCTCATATATCCGCTGCGCAAAAGGACTGTGGGTCAGAATAGCCAGAAAAACCTGCTGGCTTGTATACAGCAAAATACAGCCAGATGTAGTAGAACATCCTGGTACTTTTGACATGCTATGTTTTGGGACATACTACATTGTTGTCTGGCATAATAAATAGTGTGGTCGTATGGGAACACACAGATAGTTCATCCACCAAAGAGCACTGACAAGTTTTTTTTGTTTTTTTTATAATTTTTGGGCTTCCTGCCCTTAACTGGATGGAACAGCTGAAGAGAGACAGGAAAGAGCAGCAGAGATGATCCAGTTGCTAACATCTCGTCAATTTCAGGAAACTCTAAGTTTATTGTTTCTGCATATCATATTAATTAGTGCTGGGCAAGTTAACGCGTTAATTTCGCGTTAACGCATTCATTAATTGACCCCTCTGATGTCAAGAACTTCAGACCGGTGTCTCTTCTACCCTTTCTTTCCAAAACACTTGAACGTGCTGTCTTTACTCAACTATCCTCCTATCTCCACCAAAACAACCTCTTGGACCCTCACCAGTCCGGGTTCAAAGTGGGTCAGTCGACTGAGACAGCCCTCCTTGCGGTGACGGAGTCACTTCATGCAGCGAGATCTAACTCTCTCTCCTCTGTCCTGATTCTCCTGGACCTGTCTGCGGCGTTTGACACTGTTAACCACCAGATCCTCCTATCCACCCTCGAGGGGATGGGCGTTTCAGGCTCTGCACTCTCCCTGTTTGCATCCTACCTGACAGGTCGATCCTACCAGGTGTCATGGAGGGGCTCTGTGTCGGAACCACGCATGCTGACTACGGGGGTTCCACAAGGCTCAGTCCTGGGTCCCCTTCTCTTCTCGCTCTACACAACATCTCTGGGTTCTGTTATTCGCACGCTTGACTTCTCTTACCATTGTTATGCCGATGACACCCAGCTGGTCTTGTCATTTCCCCCCGGGGACACTCAAGTGGAGGCACGCATCGCTGCATGCTTGGCTGACATCTCGAAGTGGATGACGACACACCACCTCAAGCTCAACCTGGACAAAACCGAGCTACTGTTCCTCCCGGGGAAGGGTTGCCCGCACCGAGACCTGTCCATCACCATTGATGATACCGTGGTGACGCCAACTCTGACTGCGAGAAACCTGGGTGTGACCCTGGATGACCAACTGTCGTTCTCAGCAAACATTGCATCGGTTACACGCTCCTGCAGATTCCTGCTCTACAACATCAGGAGGATTCGCCCCTTCCTCACTGATGAGACGGCGCAGGTGCTAATCCAGGCTCTTGTCATCTCCCGCCTGGACTACTGCAACTCATTACTTGCCGGAGCCCCGGCGTCGGCCATCAGACCTCTGGAGCTTGTCCAGAAAGCTGCAGCTCGTCTGGTGTTCAATCGCCCCAAGTTCTCCCACACAACTTGCCTTCTCCGTTCTCTACACTGGCTACCTGTAAGAGCCCGCATCCAGTTTAAGACTCTGGTGCTAGCCTACAGGGCAGTGAAAGGAACAGCTCCTTCCTATCTCCAGGCCATGGTCAAGCCCTACACCCCGGCCCGACCACTTCGCTCTGCTACCTCGGGGCGACTGGTTGCCCCGTCGCCCAGAGGTCCCTGCGGCCGATCGACCCGGTCGCGGCTGTTTTCTGTCCTGGCCCCACAGTGGTGGAATGAACTCCCCACTGACGTCAGGATGGCAGAGTCGCTGCCCATCTTTTGGCGCAGGCTGAAAACTCACCTCTTCAAGAAGGCCTACCCTTCCGCTTAGCACTTACTTAGCATCTATTGTATTCATACTAGCTTATTGCACTTAGAGAGGAGATGCACTTATTACTTCTGGTGACTAGTTGTTCTCTCGAAAACCGATGTTGAATACACTTATTGTAAGTCGCTTTGGATAAAAGCATCTGCTAAATGACTGTAATGTAATGTAATGTAATTAATTAACGCCGACAATTATTTTATCGCGCGTTAACGCATTTTTTAATTTATTATGATTTTTTTTTATTTTTATTTAAAGACAAGAGACCATACATATACATAAGAACAAGAGGATGACAAGAACAGTGGGATAAAAGCCAGCAAACATCCTATAGTCAGTAATTTTAGTGCACCTATATGCTGAAATTCACGGTAAACACATTTAAATGGCACAGATCGGGAGCGAGCAAAGGACTTTGAAAGTTAGCGGAAAGATTAACGTGAGACAATATCCGGTTTCTTCAGACGAACATCCAGTTTTCAGAATAAGATGCCAACAAGGTATGGCAAATTATATTCACATTAAGTATAAAACATGCTACCTGCATCTCGTGAACCAAATATTATTGCCCTTTTGTTCATATAGCAGTACTTTTAAAATAAAAGTGCGCAATACACTACTTTTGAATTCATTGTTGAACTTTGCCATAACAATGCGATTAATCGCGATTAATCGCAAAAAATCCATGCGATTAATCGCGATTAAATATTTTAATCGTTGCCCAGCACTAATATTATTATGTTAAGGATTGTATATGTCTTGCATTGAATGTATGTGTGTGGGCTCTCTTTAGCTGCACACACATTTGTGCAGTGAAAACACTAGCTTATGTTCCGTCACTGGAAACCCCACAGAGGCAAAGAATCCAGCACTTCCACAGGATCATCACACAAAGCATATATTCTGAAGCATAGATTATGATATACGGTTTCATCTTTACGTCATCTTGGGTGCAGGACATTTGAGAGCTGTCCATCCCACAATAAACAGAAGTTAAAGTTGAACTGGCTCAAGAATTTCACGCCCTCCACAAAATGTGGCATCAACTTCAGCAAGCCTTCTTTGGAGGGAGTGGAGACGGATAACTATCCATCCAGAATTATTATTAAAGCAGCAGCACCACCTTCATGTCCCCTGTGATTGTTTGATGAATGTGCAGCCTGCAAACCACACTCAGTAACTAGCTGTTCACATTCATTGTCCCGAGTTTGGTTAAGTCAAGGGGCTATTTGCGTCTAAAATCGCAAGTTTATATTGGATGCCCAGACTAAGTCAGGCGTCATGGCTCCCTGTGAGCAACATGAACCCAACTGCTCATTTTAATACAAACACAGATCCCAGAATGAGTGGAGCTGTGAGACCAGAGTACAGTGGAGCCAGGAAAAGATCTGTGACCCTGGTAGGTGCACGACCTAAAGAGCACATGATGCTTCAAACTAGTTTTTCAGTAAATACTTTTGTACTCTCTTCAAGTAGTTCTTTTGATGACTACTTTTACTTCTACTGAAGTTTTTCTTTTTTTTTTGCAAAAGTAACTGTACTTTTACTTGAGTAGAGTTTTTGGCTACTCTACCAGAGAGGTGGGGCTGGAGCTCGCTGCCCTCTGTATCTCAGATCGTACAAACACAGACACCTTGCTCTCTCTGTTTCTGCTCGTATACACAGATAACACATGAAAAGCTGCTAAAGTATGACAGGCATAAAGATTTTTGAGCGCAATTGCTCAAACAATTGGAGTCAGATTCAGAATTTTGTAATGTAATGTTTTGGATGTAATGAGGTTTACTTAGGTCAGTACTTTGTGTAGATTATTCATTAAAAGGCACGAGTCATTTCAGTTCTTCTCTCTGCTATATGAAGTCCAACAGGGTCGGAGGTGACATCCCTTTCTCAATTCTTTATTAGCTAACTCGCTTGATTTTTGGATTAAACCGGCTACTCACAAATGTTCTTTCACCTCTTCACCGTGTGGAGCCATGCTCTCTGCCAACAGTCCAAACCTAGCCAGTCATTTGTCCATTCATAAGACTTGACTGAGAGTCTCTGTCTGAGCAAAAGGTTACTTCACCTGACTGCATGCAGGCTGCCGCTGCAAGAAATGCAAAATGTGTTTTAGCAGTCGTTGACAACCACCAATACAGCTCAGGTCATCTGTTGTTGCAGATTAACAGCACTGCACATTAGAGCAAATGGAAGTATGGAGCCTTATCTGCTGTTAAAGCATCTTGACAAGTCAAATGTATAATTAACATTAGAGCATCTGAGCAGACCTAACTTCCCACTCCCTCACAGACGAGTATACACAGGAAGTGATGTGACACTATGCCATCTCAATTATGGAAAGGGGAAAAAAGAGATAAAGCATTGTTATTTTTAAATATGACAAATCAGGAGCTGAAGTCAGGTCAGTTGGTGGTCAGTGAAACGCTTCCGGCCTTGAGTTAGATGTAGCTTTCTAAAGCTAGTAAGCCAAATGTATTTAATTAATTATTTTTGGATCTAACATCAGGAAGTAATTTTTATGAACACTGACATTCATGTGAGGCAGGTGTACACTAATAAATGTCATGATATTCATAAGTTAAAGCTGTATTGTACATTTTTTGGAAAAATGGAGGCAGAACTCCACAACAAGCTATAAATGACACGGCGTGGTGAAGTTGATACAGCAATCATTAAAGCAATCTATTGTGTGTTTACTCATCCAGACGACACTAGCATCTATTTGGAGTTGTGTTTAACCAACATAGTAAAGTTGCAATAAATTCACTGTGGCTGATAGAATGACACCATGTTCTACAACCCTAAAGCATGTTGTTTTTGTTTCTAACTTTTAGACATCAGGTGTTTTTATTATTCAATGATTACACTTAAACTACAGCCACAGCTGATGCTTGAACACCATAGGACACTATGGGAGAATGCATCTTTTGGACATCTTTGCTAATTGAAAACAGAATCTTTTCTTATGTTTTTCCTTCAAAATAATTGACAAATACTAGACGACAACAAATGTGGCGGCTGCTGCAGCCTTTCTCAACGTAGTGAAGCTCTGAGGCAAACTTTCAACACATTGTGTAGGCTATCAATTATCTAACTGAAGATAAAATTTACAGATGTTACAGCATAATTATTGTCTTTAATTGGGTAAGTAAGTAAAGTAAGTGGAAGTGAGTAAGTCTGACTTGAAAGACTTGAATTCCATCTTCCTCACTTCAAGCAAGGACCTGTTTACAGGACCTATTCTTGTCTGCACTCCTTTAGTGTTTGAAAGATAATAAGTCGAGATATAATTGATAAAAAAACAAGTACAAGGAAAATAATTTATAATTTATAAGGCTCAATGTTAAATTGAGTGTAGTTCTAATATATTGAAAATCAAAGATTGAAAAACTGAGACGCAGCATGTCCATATTAAATCTCGATATGCAGGAATACTGTCTCATCACTTTAAAGTACAGGCAGAAATTAAAATACAGTACAATATAAATATCACCACTCGCTTGACAGGTCCTTTAAACATGCATTGTATCTCAACGGCCTGCAGCCTGCAGTCAGGGCAGCATGCAGTATAGTAGAATAGTACCTCAGTAACAGACGCTGTGGTATTTCTGTCTCTGGCTGAAGTCCGATTTAAGTGCGTGGGAAGTCCGCGGACTGACACCGACACCGCGGTGACGATCAACAGCCACAGATGGGACGCTTCCCCGCGGCGCATCTTTACCATAACGCCGTGCTGATCGAGGCGCGGACTCCCTCAGTCTGTATCCACAGATGCAAGAGGAGGGTTCGTTCAATAACAGTGAGCACGGAGGAAAAATACAAATGAAAGTGGCACACGTGAACGTTTGTCTGTGCACTTCCTCAGCGCTGCCGCTCCGCGTCGAGTTGCTCCACTAATTGTAATAATTCCTAATATTCGCTTTCTAACGTTGGTAGCCTGTGTTCATTTCATGCATGTGTAGGATACAACGATCCAATAAGTTGAGCGTTAATGCGCCGAGCTGAGACATGTCTCAGTAGTCTGGCGCAGCTTCCAGAGTAAACCATGTCCTCCTCTCTCTGCTGAGGTGACACGAGTCATTGGTTCCTCCGCTTGCAGTCCAGCTTGTAGTATTGGCTTGAAAGGAGCAACCCACCTCCGCCCCGGATGACGCAACGGAGGGAGGTTATACTACTACTACTACTACTACTACTACAGCATATAGTTTAGTCAGGCATAGGACAGGAGTAACACATCATAAGGAATGATCCAGCATAGATCCTTCTGCTGTAACAATGAGTTTGTATTCTTATCAATTAGTAACCTACAATAATTGTAAGCATATTGGTAAAAAGATGAATTATATTAATTGATGACAACGATTAGAACATTTCCCTACAAAGATTGTGTTGTATCTTGGAAAAGTTTGGTTAAAGGAGCAGTGTGTAAGATTAAGTGGCATCTAGTGGTGAGGTTGCAGATTACCACAAAATATACAACTGAATGTCTGAGAACTACAGTGGCCTTCAACGCTCTTCTTCTTCATGACTAAATCATTGTTTTTTTAAAACATAGATAAATAAAAGAAATAAATTCAGAACAGGATTATAATTTATTTATAATTAAGATATAACTAAATATTTTGTTCTAGAGCAGCAACAGCAATGTTTACAACAGCAAGTCACTATATAAAGTAATTCATATCTTGCTGGAAACAAATGTAAAATGCCAATAAATTAAACATTCCTGAGTGAAGTTTATAAAGAATGAAGAACACAGACATCTATCAGTATCAGTAATGCCTCCAGTCCTCATGGCTGCTGGTCTCAGTGGTAGCTGGTAACCACAAGAGCATTGCAAAGGTTAGAGACTGGTGGCTGAACTGGGAAGGGTGATGTGGGTGTATTCTGTCCACATGGTTACAGGTAAATAGAGTTGTATAGCAATTGTATAGTCTTCCGACCACGCAAAGCGCTGTAACATTACATGTCATTCACCTAACATCATACACTGATGGCAGAGGCAACCATGCAAGGTGCCACCTGCCTACCAGGACTAACTAATCATTCATACCCATTCATACGCTGCAGGCACAACCTTCGCGAGCAACTTGGAGTTTAGTGTCTTGCCCAAGGACACATTGACATGGACTAGTGGAGCCGGGAATCGAACCGCCGATCCTTTGATTTAAAGACGACCTGCTCTACCACAATTGCTTTGAGGAGGGGTTGCCCAAAACAAGATAGTGCAGGGCTGTCTCCATCTCTTGATTCATAAGCTCAGCCTGTTGGACTGGGGGTTGAACCCAGATGACAGACTGACAGTGTTCCCCACCAGCCTGCAAAAACCTGACCAAAGTGTGACGTGAATTGTGGCCCCTGGTCAGAGATCTCATCATTACTGTCGGACAAAGGTAGGCCAGTGGCGAAATCACAAGAACTGTGGGACCAGGGACGACCAGGAACTGGCAGGGGATGCTTGGTGAGTGCTCTTATCTTGAGAGGAGACCTGCCAAGCAGCAATGATTCCTTCTATGTCCTCCTCATGGATGACCACCAGAAGCATAGTCCTAGCAGTACTAGAGTGTGTCCCACCCCAGGATGGCAAGCCAGTAAGAAAGAGTTGCCCCACTAAGGATAGAGACTGACGGAGACAAACCAACGGTCCTCCGGACAAGCGCTGTGAGCAGGGTGTTCAGCATGGGAGGGCTTAAACTTGTCCACCTCTCAGGTTATTGCACCGATGACACATGCAGGACAGAGGATTCGTTCAGGATGGGATGGAAAATTCTCTGGCTTGTACTGGTAGAACCTGGTCTCTAAGAAAGTGAGAATTTAAAAAGAGAGCCAACCTAGCTTAATGATAGTTCAGCCCCATGGCCAAACGTATGTTCTCCAGATTTTTATGATCTGTCCAGATCACATATGGCTGCTCCCTACTGCCAGTGTCTTCACTCCTCAAGTGCAAGTTTCACCGCCAGCAGCTCCCCGTTTTTCAATGTCATCATTTATTTATGTTGATGATAGCTTCCGGGGAGGAGACAGCACATAGGTGAACCACCTAATTCTCAAAGACCACTGAGAAGGAACCACCCCCACACCAATGTCTGAGGCAACCACCTCAAACATAAATTAGCGAGTGGGATCTGGGAATATGGTGGTGAAACATGATTTTAACTCACCAGAAGCCCCTACTGCTGCAGAGGAACACTGTAAGGGTGCATGCTGGGAGGTGATGGACCAAAAGCCCAGAAAGTGTTGAAATCCCTTGCATGTCAAAGGAGGACGTCAATCAGTGACCCCTTTGGTCTTGGTTGGGTCCATCTGGATGTTACCAGCATTGATGACAAAACCCAGGAAGGACTGTGGAATTCACACTTTTCAGCTTTTAGAAAGATAAAGTTATTTAAGAGCCTCTGGAAGACTTGGCGTACATGTACCACATGCTCCTGTTCAAACTTGGAAAAATGAGAATTCCATCCATATACACAAAAACACAGACGTTAAGCAGATACCAGAGAACATCATTGACCAATCCCAGGAAGACGGCAGGGGCATTGGTGAGACCAAATGGTATAATTTAATAGTTATAATTTCCGTCCTCCACTCATCCCCCTCTCTGATTCTCACCAAATTGTAAGCGTTGTGAAGGTCGAGTTTGAGAAAATGGTAGCACCTTGTAGCAGCTCAAAAGCAGAGGAAATTAGTAGGAGAGAGTACATGTTTTTGTCAGTGATGTTACTGAGTCCTCTGTAGTCAATGAAAGGGCGCAGGGATTTGTACCCCTTACCCTGTTCCAGCTGGAGAAGATGATGGCCGAATGATTCCTGCAGCCACCGAGTCATTAATGTACTTCTCCATAGCCTTGGTCTTAGGAACCGACAGGGAAAAGCGTCAGCCTTTAGGATGAGAGGTACTCCAGGCTTTGTTAAAAACTCCATCAGATGCACTCTACTCTGGATCCCTAAGAAGACATAATCCTGTGTGTGGTGTATGTATGTCTGCTTAGCCAAGGATACCCCAAACTGACTGCTGTTGTTGTGGTGGATGGATATGATGAAAGGTGAGTATTTTGTTGTAATTTAACCTGACATTATCATTTGAAGAGTAGTCGATTGATGTGTAACCCTGCAGAGGAGACAGCCATCTAGAGCAGTAGCGTGGATGGACTTCTCCAAAACCTCCCGGCTGATTCCCAGCTGAGAGGCAAGAGTTATGCACCGGAGGAGGAGGCAAAATTGCCAACCTGGCCGTAGTACTAACACCTATTTTCCTCCAGGTAGAGCTGTCGTTCTGCTATGGATAGCCGGGTCCGCCACAGCTGCACTGGCTCAGGAGAGACACAAAAATGATCCTTGTATGCTACAGCATAGACGGCACATAGTAGTTCTTACCGGAGGCTATTGGCTTTCACACTACAAGCTCATCCACTGGTTCTGGAGTGATGTCCTGACCTGAAAACATGTTGTACATTTTGCACTATACTGTTGTATGTTTTGCAACTATCATGCACTTCAATAAATGATGTTGGAAATTGTTACCAAATAAAACTGTGTATAGAATGAGTTGTTGTTTTTGTTTACTTGGGTGTGAGGACTCTGCCAGGCTTTCTGTTTGCTTGTTCAAGCAAGAGCTTGCTTGCTAACTTTTCACATCTTGAAATTTGTCAAAAGACGAACAATTGTTATTATTGTTATCCCTGCCTCATAAGGTGTCTCTTCGGCCCAGCTGTCTTAAACCCTCCCTCTAGCCTTTAGGCCACGCCTCCTCATACAGTTTAAAATGACAAATGGGAAATAGGGAATAAATCTGAACGAGGTCTGTAAACTACAATTGGCCTACAGATCGGATCTAATAGGAAGTAACTGTTTCTGTGACTTCCTGTTTATTCTTTGAAGGCGGCTGAAAACTGTCCGAGTTGACAGCTGTTTTTTGTCTCCGCCCCCTGCTGCTACCGCCTGCTCTCCTCTACTTTCCAGGCGAGAAACAGTTCATGTGGAACGAGCCTGTTTCCTTGTGTAAAGTCTGTTTTTCTGCATGTTCAGGAGCAGATGTGCAGAGTGAGACAGACACAAAGTCAATTCATGTGTTGTATATTGTCTTATGCAGGTTTGTGTTTTCCTTTGGTTAATGTTTAATCCTTGCTGTCACTCCACTCCATGCACCTGTTTACTTTGGCCACCCGGTGTCGCTGTTTCTCCGCTTGTAGATCACTTTTCATGGTTTTGAAAATAATTCTTATAATTTATGTTTATTGTTTTCCTGTCCATTTTAATAGCTCTTGACTGGTAATATTACACAGTAATGTGATATATTAAGCTTACTACTGACTGTATTCATTGCAATTAATGTAAAAATAATGAAGTCTTCACTGCACAATGTTGTTTTGCATTGATGAGTTACCTTGCACTTATATATTCTCGTCATGATAAATAGTCAAACCAGCAGTGTTATCTGTGCATGTACTAGTGGAGCCGTAACTATAAGCACATTTACACTGTAAAAGATACAAACCAACTAAAACCTCAAATCAAATTTCACTTAATATTTGATCTGGCTGCCTGCACCTCATGTGCAGAGGAGAGGGCTGAACCACCAAAACTCGTGGTCAGCTGTGGAGCAGCTGATGTCATTATCATCAGCTGTAAAGATAACGTTAAAGAACTGCAGAACAGGGCAACCATCTTCTAATACTGTGCATATATATCATCAATTATGATACGAGTTTTCATAAAGTGTTTGTGAGTAAAATCGCTGCAGGGAACACAACTTTATTTATTCATACATGGTTTATTCCATAGTGACAGATACAGCTATCTGATGCAAGTATCAGAGCTCACTGGAGTCACCGTGGTGACAGTCACACCTTCTCCAGTCACCTCACCTTCATCTTCATCACCTGCACATGAGGAGAGTATACATGAGCAATGTGTGGGAATAAAGCCAT